CCACCTGCCTCGGCCTCCCAAAGTACCGGGATTACAGCATGAGAAACATGCCCGCCCATTAAGAAAATTAAAAGACAAGCCATGGAATGGGAGAATATACTTGCAAAGCTGCTACCCGATACAGCTTGTATTGCAGGAACCTCATAGCAAAAGAACTCTGCTAGAATTCAATAAGTAAGACTCAAAAGTTTGTCAAACGGATTCAAGATTGAAGCAGGACATTTCACCAAAAAAATACATAAATGGCTAAAAAATTCAGACATGACAAAGCGATGGCACACTCATTAGTCATTAGGGAAGTACAAATCAAAACCCACAATGAGTCACCATATACATCTATTAAGATAGCCATATAATAAAAAAAAAAAGACTGACATACGAGTGTTGGTGAGATTATGGAAACATATGACAATCCTGATACATGGCGTAGTGGGATTGACATGTGTTATCGCCACTTCTTGGAAAACCAGTCCTGAAGCATATGTATTTTGATCAAGCGTGTAAAGATAGTTCACCTCCATAAGCCTGATCTACCACAGAGAGAAATGAAACATACTCGCCCACAAAAGACTTGATACAGACAAATGACATAACTGGAACAATCACTTTATAACAGCACAACTCCAATCCAAAGATGAATAGCACACTGGCTAAATGGATATAAATGTGTGTATAACAAGTACTACTCAGTTAGTAAAAAGGCGGCAAACTACTGACACATTGCAGGAATTTATGGAAGAATGCTTTAAAAACATTACACTAAGTGAAAAGAAGCCAGACATAAAACTAATTGCATAAATATGTTATATGAAATCTAGAAACCGGCAAAAACTAAGTGACAGAAGATCAATGTTTGCTTTGTGGCTGGGTAGGGACAGGAATTTGATCACAAACAAGAGAATACTGGGGGATAAGGAAAGAGAAGGTTTTGTTTTTTGTTTTACTTTAAGAGACATAGGTGCCCAGCTCTGGTCACCCAAGCTAGAGTGTTGTGATGCACAGCTCTCACTGCCATAGCCTCAAATTCCGGGCCTTCAAGTAATCTTCCCGGGCGGGCGCGGTGGCTCGAAAGCCTGTGAATCCCAGCACTTTGGGGAGGGCCGGAGGATGGTGGATCACGAGGTCAGGAGATCGCAGTACCATCCTGGCAACACGGTGAAACCCATCTTCACTAAAAAATACAAAAAATAGCCGGGCGAGGTGAGCGGGCGGCCTGTCAGTCCCAGCTACTCGGGCAGGCTGAGCAGGAAATGCATGGGAACCCGGCGAAGCGGAGCTGCAGTGAGGCTGGAGATCCGCCACTGCACTCCAGCTGGCGGACAGAGCGAGACTCGTGTCTCAAAAAAAAAAAAAAAAAAAAAAGTAGAATCTTTCCACCTCAGCCTCCCAAATAGGCTGGGACTATAACAGGCATGTGGCTATAATGTGGTTAATTTTTTTATTTTTTGTAGAAACAGAGTCTTTTTTTTTTTGGATGAAGTCTTGCTCTGTCACCAGGCTGGAGTACAGTGGCGTGATCTTGTCTCACTGCAACCTCTGCCTCCCAGGTTCAAGTGATTCTCCTGCCTCAGCCTCCCGAGTAGCTGGGACTACAGGCATGCGACACCACACCCAGCTATTTACTTATTATTTTGTAGAGATAGAGTCTTACTATGTTGTCCAGGCCGGCCTGGAACTCCCAAACTCAGATGATCCATCCGCCTTGGCCTCCCAAAGTGCTGGGATTACAGGCATGAGCCACCATGCCCGGTTAAGACAGAGTCTTACTATGTTGTCCAGGCTGATCTCGAACTTCTGGCTTCAAGTCATTCTCCTGCCTCAGCCTCCCTAAGTGCTGAGATTATAGGCTTTAGCTACCATACCCAGTCAGAAAGTGTTTTAAAACAAGATTTTGGTGATGGTGCACAACTCCATAAATTTACTAAAAATAATCAAATTATACACCTGGGCACATTTTAAGGTATTTAAATTATACCTCAATAAAACTGTTTTTAAAAGGGCTGAGATGTTGCCACACTGTCAAATCACTATCAAAGAGTTCTTAAACACACTTCATTTCTATATACATCTCCAGTTCACAGACAGGAATAGGGTCTACAGACCACACTCTTAAGAAGCACAGCTCTGACTTCCGCTAGATATTGGCTAATAGGCTTGGAGTAATCAATAGTTTTAACTGAAACTGACTTAATTTAATTTAAGCTGTTAAAGTTTAACTCCACTAAGTATTTCATTAAATAAGGAATTTACAAGTATTACTGACAAAAGGAAAATATGAAAACATGGTCTATTGCTGAATAAAAGCATAACTCATTATAAAATAAGAGTCTACAAACAAAATACCACCAAGAACAATGACTACCATAGACCCTTTTTTTTTTTTGAGATGGAGTCTCGCTCTGTCACCCAGGCTAGAGTGCAGTGGTGTGATCTCAGCTCACTGCAACCTCCGCCTCCTGGGTTCAAGGGATTCTCCTGCCTTAGCCTCCCAAGTACCTGGGACTACAGGCGTGTGCCACCACGCCCAGCTAATTTTTTTATTTTTAGTAGAGATGGGGTTTCACCATCTTGGCCAGGCTGGTCTCGAACTCCTGACCTTGTGATCCACCTACCTTGGCCTCCCAAAGTGCTGGAATTACAGACGTGAGCCACCGCACCTGGCCGACTCTTCTTTTTAATGTAGTATAATCAAGTAGATAAAGTCAGTATATTTACAGATTAGACTACTAAAACCCAAAGCAATGAAACTTTAAACATATAAATGAATAAATGGAATATTGTAATATTATATATTTCATGGGACCAAATATCAGACATGCAAATGAATTACATGAATAGATTTGTTTCAGAGGAAGTCCCAACAACATGTAAGCTTTACTTTGTTTCCAATTAAGTGTAAATCTAGGCTAAGTTCAACCAAAACTGGTAAGCACTTAGTGTCTACGTTATAGTCTAAAATTTAAATTCATTTTATAGTAATATTTAAATTCATTTTATAGTAATTAGATACCAGTTACAAAAAGCAACTGATGGGGACAGGAGGCAAAGAAATTCTAGGCAGAAAAGGGTGGGTCACCGGTGAAAACCCCACCCTCAAGCCAAAATGCCTGAAACCTCGGCCCAAAGTGAGAACTTATATCCCTGTTTTCCTGTTTGAATGTTTTCCTAAACCACCCATGGCCCTGCCTTGCCCCATTCTGTGCCTATAAAGACCCCAGACTCAGCCAGCAGAGAGAACCAGCTGGACGTCAGGATGTTGGAGAGAAGCGGGTTGACTTTAGAGGGACAGCTTGATGGTGTAACTTTGGAGAAAAATTTAGCTGGAGACAGCTGGACTTCAGGGAAAGATTACCTACCCCCACCCCACCAGCCCCTTTTCAGCTCCCCTTCCTGCTAAAAGCCACTTTCATCAGCAATAAAATCTCCTGCATTTACCATCCTTCAATTCATTCGTGTGACCTCATTTTTCCTGGATGCCAGACAAGAGCTCAGGAGCCACGAGTGCTGATACAAAAGGCTGTCACACTGGCCCTTTGCCCTGGCTGGCAGAGGGCAGCCACCCCACACAACGGGGCAAAGGGCCCACTGAGCTGTTAACACTTAAGCCGTCCACAGATGGCAGAGCGAAAAGAACACTATAACATGCCCTCTGGAGCCTTGGGAGTCACAGGCACCCCACAGCCTGGACGCTGCCACAGCAGCCAGCTGGTTGTAGCACTTAAGCCCTCCAGTTCCTGCCTTGTTCACCCACACTCTCCTTCCCATGAGGAGTTGAGAGAGGCAGGCTGAGCAAAGGAGAGACTCCTGCAAAGGGGTCAGGGAAATATCCTGCTTCACAATGATACTTTTTTTACAGCTCTGGCAAAACACAGACATGAAATAAAGACTCTCTCATTTTAAAAAGGTCAAAGCAATTTGCTGAAGTTAACTTTTTTTAGGAAAAATTAAATGCTCAACTTTTCCAGAACCCTATTTTTACTATACTATTTCTCATTTGCAGGGCAAAAACAGATGCTCAATGTTTCAAGCATAACTGGGAAAAAAACAAACTGAATTATAACAACTAAGAAAAAACAAACTTGGGTTATAAAAAAAAAAAAACTTTTCCATTGGTAAATTTCATTCCACAGAACAGTTCAGCTTTAGTAATCTAAGCATTCCCTAGAGCTCAGATTCTTCCTATAGATTTACTACACAATGAAACTACAACTTTCGAAACCACAAATCTGGTTTATTTACTTTCTTATGAGGTTTTTGAATTACCAAGTCAAATCAGCTTTAAAAGCATTTTCTTCATATTTAACATGTGAGACCTGGATCTATGAAGCTTTGTTTTGAATTAAAGAACATTAACTTTGAACTGGAAATTAAATTGAATGAGGGGGAAATGCCAGGATATCTATGATCATTCTTTTAATCAATACATACCAGTTACGTACAATAGTTCTAGTGCTATTGTTCACTTTGTCCCTTTAAATTTTTGCAGCTTTCTAGAAAAGTAGAAAAAGGTTTTGCAGAATCTTTGTTGTCCTTCCCTCCATTATAACTACCCTTCTATTTCCTGACTCTTTGCACCCTGTATTTCACTTTAGATAAGAAGCTAGAGGAACAATCCTGGAAGGAAAGCTAAAGAAGGAAACAAAAACCAGAAGCATTTACTCTTGCTCCACTGCCTTTCTCTAGAAAAATGTCAACTCAAACAACATAGAACATCCTGCAACAAGCTAGCCCTCTTACCACATCTCCGTAACATATGTTCAGTATTCAAAAATGCATCTTCAAGATAGTAAGTGTATCACAATTTGATAAGTTTGTGTGAGTAGAAAAGCTATTGTTATATGAATTAATTCTCAGACTGGTAATACACAAAGCTGTAATCTAATATCCATATATACTTGTAAAACCATTCAAAACACATTAGGACAGTTTTTAAATATACAGCTATAAATGGGGATCATTACAACTACGCTTTTAACAATTTATGCCCACATGTATCTTACCCTTCTGGCTCTGTTTCCTGGACATTGCCGTTTCTTCAATCTCAAAAAATATACAAGAAAAGTATCCTTTTGCCTTGTCTGGATTCTGAGTGTAGGTATCTCTGATTTAAAAGTGGGCAATGGAAGTGTGTAGTTGGAAGCAAAAAATACGAAATCCTGCTGTTGGAAATTCTGCTCACTAGCTGTCAATTTCCTTTCCTTTTCTTGTATCGACTTCTTATCAGGAAGTATCATTGCAGATATTCATGTCTTCTTTTCCAGGGAGATTCTGGAGGGAAAAACACACACATATACTATTACAGTAATGACTATCTGTACAAAATTTCTGAGATATCCACAAGGTTTCTTTTGCATTTCTCTGTACAAAACTAGTTTTAAGTACTATAGAAACAATGTAGCTGCTGAAAAGCAGAATTTTTCTTAAGAAAACTTAACCTTAGAATCAGATTATCCCCTTAGTTTAGAAAGTATGTTCTCTTAGTCTTCTTATCTTTTGTATCCATCTGAAATATCCCCATCTCTGCTTCGCAAACTAAAATGTTACCTCTTACCACTCCCCAAGATCTTTCTTTTTTTTTTTTTTGAGATGAAGTCTCGCTCTGTCACCCAGGCTGGAATGCAGTGGCCGGATCTCAGCTCACTGTAAGCTCCGCCTCCCAGGTTTACGCCATTCTCCTGCCTCAGCCTCCCGAGTAGCTGGGACTATAGGTGCCCACCAGCTCGCCCAGCTAGTTTTTTGTATTTTTTTAGTAGAGACGGGGTTTCACCGTGTTAGCCAGGATGGTCTCGATCTCCTGACCTCGTGATCTGCCCGTCTTGGCCTCCCAAAGTGCTGGGATTACAGGCTTGAGCCACCCCGCCTGGCCTAGAATTTCTTATATCTAACCTCTTCTCAGGTTTCCCAGCTCAAATACAGCTGTAAAAAATATATGGGGGTGGGATGTGAAATGTTGAGAAACACACTCACCGTACAAACCCAAAGAATGGACTTAGAGGCTCGAAAAACAGCAAATGTGAGACTTTTTAATAATGGTCTAGCCAGGTGCAGTGGCTCATGCCTGTAAGCTCAGCACTTTGGGAGGCTGAGGCAGGCAGATCACCTGAGGTTGGGAGTGCAAGACCAGCCTGACCAACACGGAGAAACCCCGTGTCTACCAAAAATACAAAATTAGCTGGGCGTAGTGGTACATGCCTGTAATCCCAGCTACTCAGGAGGCTGAGGCAGGAGAATCACTTGAACCCAGGAGGCGGAGGTTGTGGTGAGCCAAGATCGCGCCATTGCACTCCAGCCTGGGCGACAAGAGCGAAACTCCATCTCAAAAAAATAAATAAGTAAATAATAATAATAATGGTCTTGCAAGATCAGGTGTTTGGTGGGCAAGCACACTGGGACAGTCACAACAGGTAATTTATCTCTTAGCGTACAAGTCCCTCCGCCAGTTCCTCAGTGGTTAAGTACTGTGGGGTGACAATCTTCCCGGACGTTGCCAAAGTTTATTATCCCCCTTATAAGGTTATACCCCATTCCCTTCCCCTCTTAAGTTTTGATTTCTCAATAACGAAACTTTCTTCCCTTTTATGGGCGGATCCCTCCTCTACATTCGCTTCACTTAGTGTGACCTCCTAGGCGCATGAGCTGTGTGGTTTGTTACATTTGCAGGCCAGCTGCCAGTACTTAGATTTATCATGCCTTGAAAACAAACCATTTAAAATGTTTTTTCACATGAAAGGAGGGAAGTGCAAAGGAATTTTAACATGGAAAACTGAAACATCAAAATGAGATTAGTACATACTGCAGGAAGCTCCTTTAAATTACAAACATACAAATGTTGTTTTTCTATATTAGTAAACATTTTAAATATACATGCCCAAGATTCCTGGGTAAAAAAAACTGTAAGTTCCTGCCAGCAGAGATGAGCTAACAATTAAAATAAATAAATAAATAAATGAATAAATAAATAAAGAGATGGAACCTGCAACCTCCACCTCTCGGGTTCAAGTGATTCTCCTGCCTCAGCCTCCCGAGTAGGTGGGATTATAGGCATCGCCCAGCTAATTTTTGTATTTTTAGTAGAGATGGGGGCTCACCATGTTGGCCAGGCTGGCCTTGAACTCCTGACCTCAAGTGATCTGCCCGCCTCAGCCTCCCAAAGTGCTAGGATTACAGGCGTGAGCCACCACGCATGGCCAATTTTTTTTTTTTCTCTAGAGACAGAGTCATGTCCTTGTTGCCCAGGCTAGAGTGCAATGGTGCCATCTTGGCTCACTGCAACCTTTGCCTCCTGGGTTCAAGCGATTATCCTGTCTCAGCCTCCCAACGAGCTGGGACTACAGGCACCTGCCATCATACCCGACTACTTTTTGTATTTTTAGTAGAGACAGGGTTTCACCATGTTGGCCAGGCTGGTCCTGAAGTCCTGACCTCCAGTAATCCATCTGCCTCGGCCTCCTAAAGTGTGGGATTACAGGCATGAGCCATCATGTCTAGTTGAATTTTTTTTTTTTTGAGACGGAGTCTCGCTCTTTGGCCCAGGCTGGACTGCAGTGGCGCGATCTCGGCTCACTGCAAGCTTCACCTAAGGGTTCACGCCATCCTCCTGCCTCAGCCTCCTGAGTAGCTGGGACTACAGGTGCCCGCCACTGCACCCAGCTAATTTTTTGTATTTTTACTAGAGATGGGGTTTCACCGTGTTAGCCAGGATGGTTTCGATCTCCTGACCTCGTGATCCACCTGCCTCGGCCTCCCAAAGTGCTGGGATTACAGGCATGAGCCACTGAGCCCGGACGAAAAATAATGATTTTTTAAAGCATAGGATGATAGAACTCTTATACCTGGACACCTGACTGGAAAAACGTTTACAAAATGAAATGCAAGAAGGAAAGGAGAGTACGCTTATAAGAAATATTTTCCAATTTGAAAAGAGGAGACTGAAGAGTCAAGAGGCAATTCTGTGAAAGTTTTAAAAATATTTCATCAAGATTAAGAACTTCTACAAACCACAGTGGGACCTCAGGAAAAGCAGTGTGAGTATTTGAAACTTACCATCTTCCAGAACACTGAGCCAAGTTGAGAGAACCAGCCAAAGCCTACGGAAATACATGGAATATACCCCTGGATACGGCACACTTAAAAATATTTTAGAAAAAAGAACAGAACTCAGATCTGCCAAAAATAACTGAACCCTTCAGTGGCAAGCTTCTCAACAGCACATGTCCTCAGGTTAAAGAGGATGAGGCCAGGCATGGTGGCCCACGCCTGTAATCCCAGCACTTTGGGAGGCCGAAGCAGGTGGATCACCTGAGGTAGACCAGTCTGACCAACATGGTGAAACCCCACCTCTACTAAAAACACAAAATTAGCTGGGCATGGTGGTGCATGCCTGTAATCCCAGCTACTCGGGAGGCTGAAGAAGGAGAATTGCTTGGACCTGGGAGGTGGAGGTTGCAGTGAGCCAAGATCACACCACTGCATTCCAGCCTGGGCAACAAGAGCAAAACTCCATGTCAAAAAAAGAAAAGAAAAAGAAAAAGAAAAATGAAAAGAGGATGAAAGCAACAATCGACAACTAACCATAGTGGATGAGCAGGGGTGGGTGAGATAGGTCCCAAAGAAGACTAGAAACATATCAAGGATATTTCATCTATACTCTGTAGCTACAAACAAAAAGGTGTAAACAGAGCTATCCACATGTAACATGAAGAAGATAAACAAAAATGACATAGCAACTATCAAACCTACTATAAAAAAAGAGAAATACAATGAGAGAAGAAATTTCCATGCAACAGATGAAGAACCCAATCTGGAAAACAATATAAGCCCTCAAACCAAAAGTAGGTTCCTCCTTGAATACTTATTTGAATATTTCAAACGAGAATGTGAATTCAAGTTGAATTTTAAAAAAAACTATAGGTCGGGAGCAAGATGGCCAAATAGGAACAGCTCCAGCCTCCAGCTCCCAGAGTGAGCGACACAGAAGACGGGTGATTTCTGCATTTTCAACTGAGGTACCGGGTTCATCTCACTGGGAAGTGCTGGACAATTGGTGCTGGTCAGCTCGTGCAGCCCGACCAGCGAGAGCTGAAGCAGGGCGAGGCATCGCCTCACCTGGGAAGTACAAAGGGGAAGGGAATCCCTTTTCCTAGCCAAGGGAAACTGAGACACACAACACCTGGAAAATCGGGTAACTCTCACCCTAATACTGTGCTTTACCAAGAGTCTTAGCAAACGGCACACCAGGAGATTATATCCCACACCTGGCCCGGAAGGTTCCACGCCCATGGAGCCTCCCTCATTGCTAGCACAGCAGTCTGAGATCTAACTGCAAGGCGGCAGCGAGGCTGGGGGAGGGGTGCCCGCCATTGCTGAGGCTTCAGTAGGTAAACAAAGCCGTGCAGAAGCTCGAACTGGGTGGAGCCCACCACAGCTCAGGGAGGCCTGCCTGTCTCTGTAGACTCTACCTCTGAGGACAGGGCATAGTTAACAAAAAGCAGCAAAAACCTCTGCAGATGTTAATGACCCTGTCTGACAGCTTTGAAGAGAGCAGTGGATCTCCCAGCACGGAGGCTGAGATCTGAGAACGGACAGACTGCCTGCTTAAGTGGGTCCCTGACCCCTGAGTAGCTTAACTGGGAGACATCCTCCACTAGGTGCAGACTGACACCTCACACCTCACATGGCGGGGTACACCCCTGAGACGAAGCTTCCAGAGCAAGAATCAGACAGCAGCACTCGCTGTTTAGCAATATTCTATCTTCTGCAGCCTCTGCTGCTGATACCCAGGCAAACAGGGTCTGGAGTGGACCTCAAGCAATCTCCAACAGACCTACAGCTGAGGATCCTTACTGTTAGAAGGAAAACTAACAAACAAAAAGGACACCCACACCAAAATCCCATCAGTACGTCACCAGTATCAAAGACCAAAGGCAGATAAAACCACAAAGATGGGGAAAAAGCAGGGCAGAAAAGCTGGAAATTCAAAAAATCAGAGCGCACCTCCCCCTCCAAAGGAACGCAGCTCATCACCAGCAACGGATCAAAACTGGATGGAGAATGACTTTGACGAGTTGAGAG